GTTGTTAATGGTTGCGGGACCTGTGAACACTTTATCATGTTTCCTTGGAATTAGATACGCTTTCTTAAGCGTCCACTTTTCGTTTTCGATTAATGGTACGATAATGTAGTATACAACGCAATAGAGTAAACAAGTATTGAGACTTTACGTAGACAGATTAGAATTTAGTGATAGAGGTGTACGAGCTCTAGATTTTTCTAAGAATATTGAAGATTCGTTTAACGGCGTAAATGTTACAGAATACTAAAGGTATGAGTAATGCAAAAATTACTCAAGTCATCCTAACAAAGTGATAAAGTTTTAACACTAGAACTACCGACAGTTAAAACGAAATTATTTCTACCAAAACTAGTCAAAATAACTGATCTTAAAAAAAAAGACATAATAATAGAATATTTTTAAATTTATTGATTTATTACTTTTTTACAATAGAAATACCATGTTACGTAGTACAGTTAATACCAAATTTGTCGGGTTTATTTAACAAATATTGAATAAATCTGTATCTGGCTTTAAATGGAAAGAAAATTGTTTGTCAATTATAACATTTGCACCTAGTTTGTAACGACTCTGATTATCTTGAATAAATTTATCCCATTGCTGATATCAAAGCTGTATGAGATAAATTTGTCACTTTATAAACGTTGACTTCATCCTTTTTTATCCTTTTTTATCAAAGCAAATAAATCTCAATATTTCGATAAAATCATTTCATGGCATTGGAAAAGAAGTTTGGTCCCCATTTTCTATTACATAAATATAAAAGTTCCAAATTTTTTTGTTTCGTTGCATATAAAATTCCAAATTTTTTAGACAAAACTCGAGAAACTTCTATTTCCGTGCAAGATATTATACGTTTAAGCATATGGTCGTCGATTAATAGTAAAGAAAATGCGCAATTTTCCTGCTAATTATCACCATTATATTGAATGATAACAATATAAATTCTAAAAACGTGTGAGAAGTTGTACGAAACTGATTAATTTGGGTTCAGTAAACAGATTGTAGGATCCTTTTACACTTTGATAAGTCATTTTGACTGGTATTGGTATAAGTAGCATACAAAATTATTTTGATTTCTAATAAATAAAAATAAAATTCATTACATTAGTTTTTTAGTTATCACTGCAAAAGTCATTACATCATTGCGGAAAAGAAATGTAACATGAAATAGAAATTTTAAAATAAAATTGTAAAATCAGTCATCGACTGGTGTGGTAGTTCTAATGTTAATTTATTACCGTGTGCTTTACTTTCTCGAGAGTCAGGGAATTTAATAATATAATTAGGAGGATTTGCTTGAATAACTTTTGTTCAATTGCTGGTCCAATGCATTCTGAGTCCAGTTTGTTTTTCTTATGATTCATGTTATGAAATAATACTTTGTCTTTAATATTGAATATTGTTTGTGTTTTGATGATTCGCGCGTCTTGCTGTTTATATTGAGCTTTATTTTTTTTCAAGTGTTTCATGAACTTTTTGTAGATATCTCGTGTTGTTTTTTCCAAAGTTTAAATAATTCTTCTCGGGTCATACTAAAAGTTACGGACATTGTTGAAGACATTTCTTTTACGTTCAAACGTGAGTTCAAAAAATGTGTACCTTGTTGCTTCATGAAGTGATGTATTGTAACTCATGCGTACTAGATTTAAATTTTCATCTCATTCATTTCCTTTTTCTTTTATGCTAGTTTGAATTAGATCTTTAATTGTCGTGTGTTGTTTTGAACGAATTGATAGTGAAGGATATGGTTTTTGTGTGTTTGATATGGAATGCTTTTTCAAATTTTTCCATGAATTAACATTATACACAGTTTTGTCTATTTTCTGTAATCCTCCTTGACTACTGTGGCGCTTATAGGCCCCTGTCCCTGACGAAAAGGCGGCTCGTCTTCTCCCCGTTTCACGTAGCTGTGAATTAGGTTTGCCATAATCAAGTTCTGAGTTTTTTTTTAGAGTACAAAAAGTAACATCACTTTATAACGCCTCCACTTGCACGATCACGTCGACGGTCACCAGTTAGGTTGGTACAGGGAATGATCGTCACTCTGTTTGTACAGTTATTTTATTTACGTCTACACTTGTTAACCAATCTTAGGCTTAATCTTACACAAAGCTCTCAAGAAACCTCGGTTCTTGTCCTGAACATTCCTAATTGGCCAAGCCGTTTCCAGGCTTTAACCAATTAGGCTGTCTTGGATTGCACCACCTATTCCCCGCGCTCTTCGCACTGCAATCCGCCGAGGACGATCTTCATTATTGGCGATGCAACAAGATTTTTTTCTGGGCCCTACTTTATTAGTTTCTTCGGTAATTCTTAGACCTTTTTTGGTCTTCGTGTGGGCCCTTGGCATCATAGACCTTTTCACTACTACTTGGGCACAAACGATTGTCTTACGCATCCCTAAAGAATAAAGCTTGACCTTCGCAATTCGATAGCGTGGTCGATGCGTGAGTAAAATCTAACTTTACTGTTAAAAAATTGACTTTCTTCGGCATATGCTAGCCGCCACAGTCACGTTCTCAGTGTAAATCGCGATTAAACTCTTGCCGTATGCGGTACGTATCAAAGTCCGCCGTAGCCAAGGGGGTAAGGATGTGCTTTAGTGAGAAAAATATGTAAATGTAGCTGTCGATGAGTTTCGATATTATTGCTGCTTGTTGATTTGGTAGGCAATTTAGTTAGTCAATCTTGTATGGATAATATGAACTAGTTATTAGAGCCGGTAAGGGTAATATATTGAGGGTAATCGTCAGTTATTACAGCTTTTTCCTTCTGTCGTTTTTTCATTCTGGTCAGGTTCTTTTTTCTCGCTGGCAGATGTCACAGTTGGTGATTAATTCTTTCACATTTTGCTCTATACCTTTCCAGTTGTGATTCTCCTTTAATCTGGCGAGCGTTCTATTTTCTCCAAAAATGCTATATCCGTTATGTGATTCTTACAAGAATCCTAACTTCTCTTCGTTTGAATACTTCCTAATAGACGAATTTTACGTTT